GTTGGTTTAGGTTTTTTTTTGGCATCTCCATGTGGTCCTGTTCGGTATCGCAACTTGACTTCTCTAAAATGTAAAAAAGCTCTTTGCTGTTTTTTTTTCTTTCATATATGCTTATATGGGCTCCTTATATCATTTGGTTCTTTGGTGTTCTTTTGGAGTTTCTAAGTGTCCTTTTTTTGGAAAGACATCTAAATTTATCTTGAAAAAATCTTGCAGAAAATATAGATTTTTGAGAATCACCCTTCAATCTTTTGGTTTACTTTGCTGGATATAGCAAATGATGACAAAATAAACATTTGAAACAAGATAAATGGTCTACGCTTAATTTCATGAAGTGTGCGATTAATCACAGAAAAAGGATGTGATTAATTAGATAAGATAATTAGATAATTATCTTATAATTAGATAATTAGATTTAATCGATTGACAGCCCTAGATTATATGCAAATGAAGTTTTGGGTGTTTTGACAAGTTATTTTAGTTACACAGAAATCTAGCATATAGTCTTGGACCATTTCTAATGAGTAGTTTAAACAGTTCCTCTTATCAGGCCAATCAAGAGGTTGGTTTATTTGGCAGGCATTTTAAGTTTATTTGGCAAGCAAAAGTATTGATTTAAGCAACTAGTGTCAATGTGAAACGTGCAGAATTGCAGCAGCCCTCTTTTGATGGTGCTTTTCTGTCTGCCTTATGCAATGCAGTGAGAATATACCTAGTTTAGTGAGCACTTCATAAAACACAATTGAGCCCGACCACCAGTTTGAACGCAATGAGCTTTTGTGAGGGAAGTCTGACAACTGGACAGCTAAAGAAAACCTGTTTGGCCACTCGGCCTGGAGTCATGTGGCAAACTAAAGGGAAGTGTGAAGCAGAAAGGTGTACCTTACCTCACTCTGAAAACCACTGAAAGCTTTTATACAAACCTTTTGCAGGGAAGAAATACCCAGCAGGTCTGGACAAGCTTTTGTCTTGAGCATAGGCAGGTCTGCAGTATAGTGTGTGGTTGGGATTGCATTGTCCCCTTTGGAACTGGAGGTTTAGTGTGTTTTTCATCAAGCATGAAATGCTTTGAAGTATTTGTGTGGCAAAATTTTGCGCCGTGTCTGACAAACTTTGCATTATTTGGGTGGATTGTGAAATCCTGAGCCTTTGTTTTCCACAATTATTAATGCACTCTTAATGCATGCAGGTTTCCCGTCAACCTCTGACCGAGTCTTTGTTTTTGTTTGATATAATGTTTTTGGTCTGATACATTTGTGGGCAGAAGTGCACAATAGAGATACTAAACTACACACTTTTAAAATTCAGCCAGTGACTCGCCTGAATGACTAATGGCGGACTGAATAATTGGGCTGTTCTTTCTATATTTACAATTACAAAATCCAGTATACAAGCTGATCTAATGTGGTTAGTTTTGTTTAAATGGACAATATTGTGTTAGTCAATGAAAATGTTCAGTTTATTATTATTATTATTATTATTATTCTTTTTATTTTAATTGAATGGTGGACAGTCACCAGTAGGTATGTAACGATTACCGGTTTGACGATAAATCATGATAAAATTCCCGACGGTTAGTATCACCGTTTCATATTTTAATTATCATTAAAACCATTTT